CGGCTATGGCGGTAAGAAAGTGTATAATTAAACTATCATATGGCGCGAACGATTTGAGTAACATTTCTAGAAATCTAGATACATACAAAACACTGTGTTATCTATGATCTCTGTGATCCTTGAGATTATGATAGCCGTGCTTATATTAGCCTGTGCGATACCGCGCGTAGATACTTGCTATAATTACTTAAACCACTCGCGCTTCAATAAACTCAAAAATCACAGAGATCATAGATAACACATGTGTTTATATGTATCTAGGTTTCTAGAAATTTAACTCAAATCTTTCGCGCCGTAATAATATTATGATAGTTTAATTGTACACTTTCTTACAGTCCATAGCCGTGCGTATATTAGTCTGTGCGATAACGCGCGTAGATACTTGCTATAATTAATTAAACCACTCGCGCTTTAATAAACAACATATTTATTGCACCCATTGCACCCATAAGCACAGCAGCCAGTCATTTTAGAAGAATATGACAATTCTGTAATTCACAAAACAAATGCGTTCCACTCTCCACTCGCTCGCAGCTGTAACATGTGTTTTTCACGTGTTGCATGAATTAGTCAGTGAAGCTAGACTAGGGGTTGTTGTAGTAATAGTCTATCTAGGGTCCCTATATACAAATTATCCCATTTGTAATGATAGGGACCCTAAGTCTATCTAGACACAGCGTCGCGCATCTTGTTGCGGCTGTATTGATGTTACAGGTTCTGGTTCTGGTTGCGAGAGAAAGCACACGCGCGTGCCACGCGCGTGTGCGTGGTTTTGCGTCGCTTTGTGCGATGTGTCTACACTTACATCCTTATATATTATATCCCTTAATTACCTGATATCCCTTTGTATATAGGGACCCTATCTACACTGTGCCTCGTCTACGCGACGAACCTTAACTCGAGTTAAGCTAACTCGAATTAGCGATTATGGAGCGTCTACACGACAACACCCTATAGCGATTATTACCGATTTATTATGCATGCGTGCGTGCGTGTGTATGTAAACGTGCGTGCATGCGTGCGTGCATGCGTGCGTGCGTGTGTATGTAAACGTGCGTGCATGCGTGCGTGTGTGCGTGCATGCGTGTGTGCGTGCGTGTGCATGTGCACGTAGACGTGCGTGCGTGTGCATGTGCACGTAGACGTGCGTGCGTGCGTGCGTGCGTGTGCACGTACACATGCGCGCATGAGTGTGTGCGTACGTGTGCAAGTACACGTGTGTTATTTATGATCTCTGTGATTCTTGAGTTTATTGAAGCGCGAGTGGTTTAATTAATTATAGCAAGTATCTACGGCTAATATACGCGCACGGCTATGGACGGTAAGAAAGTGTATAATTAAACTATCATATAGCGCGAACGATTTGAGTAACATTTCTAGAAATCTAGATACACATAGACACATGTCTTAGCTATAATCTGTGAAGATTAATATGATTTTTGAGTTTATTGAAGCACGATTAGTCTAATTAATTACTACGGACCATTGTACAGCGTATCCATGCACACAGCGCTGTACTTGAGCGGCAGCGGTTGGGATCCATTTGGAAACAACATGGCGTCCAGCGATCACGTGACCGATTTTTTCCGACTCGTCATGTCGCAACTCTCTGTATATAGAGACCCTAACTACAATATGACATACACGCGTCACAGTGTGAAATAACCAGTTTTACACTGTTATTTGTTGACAGTTTCACAGTGTTTACCTTCGCAGCTGTCTATAGTTCGAAAATTTAGTACCTGAATTTAAAACGTTATAAACCTAAACAAATATTCTGTACCTATCCATCGTGTGTAGAATTTATAACATAATACATCCTATAAATTTCCTGTATCCAAAATCCACATTGGTATAACTCCATCATCGCTATACATAAACTCATATATACAAGCGTTCTGCGTATTGTACAAGTGTTATGGGTGTACCCGTGTTATAGAAGATTCATGAGACACGTCGGGGGATGCCGACTGTGGGTAGGCACGTGACCGTATAGGTCGTAAGGTTATAAGTCTTGCGTTGTGTATTGTTCTTAACCCGTTGTTTTGTTTCGTGTTTGCGTTTCTGCTTGAAGGAGATGTCAGAATTGTCTCTGTGTCTCTTGTGCGACGCAAGGCGCGAGTAGCAAATAACTTCACAGTAGAGATAACACGTATTTGTTGTAACAGATTAGATGATTTTATTCTACTCAGAGAATCACTAAATACAGACTAGGTAATGTTTTACAGCACACATAAGTTCTTCTTCACTACGTGTGACTACAACGTCTGACTACGTGACTATCTCGCTGACTCGCTTATACTACGACTGACTAAGACCATAGATACTAACCCAAGGGGTTAATATCTATGCTAAGACTAACTGGCTACGTGTTGCAGCACGAACTGGGTTTTTTCCATCGCGCCGTTTATATGCGTCATGGGTGGGGGGGGCTATCTCCTGACCCATAGTGATGTGGCTATGGGCGAGGGAAGCTGAGCCAGCTGTGAATAATATTCTATATCGAACTTGATATCAAACCAGGGTCACATGGCCAAAGAGCTGCTGGTGATTGGGCACGCCCTAACTACGCAATTATAGAAAACCAAAGGCGGTCACGATGTAGCTATTCTTAAACGCGTTCAAGTTAGCAATGATGTCATCGCCGCCTGCGAATATCCGCTGCTTTCTGCGTAGCACTGATCTCGTCTCTTCGTGNTGCTACGTGTTGCAGCACGAACTGGGTTTTTTCCATCGCGCGTATATGGTCATGGTGGGGGGGGGGGCGTATCTCCTGACCATAGTTGATGTGGCTATGGGCGAGGGGAAGCTGAGCCAGCTGTGAATAAATTCTATATCGAACTTGATATCAAACCAGGGTCACATGGCCAAAGAGCTGGCTGGTGATTGGGCCACGCCCTAACTACGCAATTAGAAAACCAAAGGCGGTCACGATGTAGCTATTCTTAACGCCGTTCAAGTTAGCAATGATGTCATCGCGCTGCGAATATCCCGTGCTTTTCGCGTAGCACTGCATCACTCACAGATGTCGATTATCCTTCTAATGCGCTTCTCGTGTTTCTAGCGTAAAATGATGCAGACCATACTTGTATGTTTTAATTTACTGTTGCTGTGTGCGTGTTTAGGTGCAAATGCCTGTTCCTGATATTCCGACCAGCCTCTCCAGTGTGTGGTGAGTAGGACCATTCTAATTCTATGCGTGCATATATTTTACACCGCCATGGAGAGTACAAATTAATAACACGATCCGCGAATGTATATATTTTATGTCATGAATGATTTCACCTTCCCTTAAAACAAACTGTACTAGCGCTCTATCAAATATACCCTGTAAATATCGTCCACTCTACTTGCATTCTATTATATTACACCTTTATTCCGTTTTAAAGCGCATAATTTACTTACTTCAGCCTTCGCCTCCAACTGCTGCACCCTTCCTGGAATAACATCCGACATAACATTTAAAGCGATTATTCAACCTTGAATGTATCACAGCGCAGACGCCTCAGCCCTTTAATTGCCAATAAACAAACGACCATTGGCATACTTTATGGACAATCGAATCCCGTAAACGATAATAGGGTATCAATGACGATATAGCGCAATTTGGCAGGAGAGGCCGGCACCAGGGCGGGACGGTAGAGATGGCCTTCCAGGCGCTGCCGGGACGGATGGAAGAGACGGCTTGCCGGGACGAGATGGGGAGAAGGGTGAGAAAGGCGACCAGGGTTTGTAAAGAGCAATTACAGCTAGAGATGAGTCTTGTCACCGTGGGTCCGTGAAAACTCCCTGTAGTGTAGAAAATCTCTAGGCGGCTACCGCTGTTCGCATGCACACTCGGTTGAGGTTCGCTATATTTTTTTCAGATTGTGCGTTTTTGAGCAATGATTTCGAAATCATTTAGACTGGAAGTAACGGTAACGAAAGTCTTACATTACAGGCCTTCCGGGTAACATGGGAGCCACAGGTGAGAAAGGTAATGCGGGAGTGAGTGCCACTCCAGCTGAATGCCCAGCGTGTGCGGCTAGGAAGATCCACCAGTGCACGTGGGATAATGCTAATGATGGAAAAGATAGCGGATTGGTTCATGCAAGTATCATATCTATATCACCACTCAACACATCTTGGTTACTTACACCGAAATGCAGTTAATCACGTTCATTATAGCTAGGCATGTGAGAATCACAAGTATTCTTTATGGAAATTGCACTTAGTGCAAGATTGGTTGTGATGCACCATATCAGATGTTTTGTTTCATTTTTAAATACTTTTATCGCAGTTTACTCTGCCCCCCCCCCGCAAGTATAACTTAAATATTCGCGTACAAGTCCTGCTTACATTCACATTTCCTAGCAATGCAGCATTACAAAGCTGAGGGATGACACCGGGTGCACGTCAGTGTGATAGGCAGCATTCGTAACATCAGGACGGAGCCAAGCTGTGCAGTCGCTGGCACATCGCCTTCAACGGCAACGCAGTGTGGCAACCGCGCCCGCATTGACGCCCAACTCTACAGCAGTCTGGAGGGACTAAACATACACAGCGCCTTCGATACGTACGTATCGTACGTTGTGTTCGCAAGTGCTTCCAAAAACGCGATAAAGTTGCGGCGGGGGGGGGAACATTTGAATTCTTGGTGATTGGCTGCTTTTTTTATTTACAAGTGAAGGATGCAGAGAGTATTTCGAAAATACCCAT